GTATGACTCATTACCTACTTATAATATCAGAAAGGATTGTTGCTGTTTGTCCTTTTTAAAAAGTGGATTTTTATTACATGCAATCAACAATGATATCCAAAAACAAGGAAAACAATCCTAAGAGTAAAATATGTGAAATTAGTCAACATCTTCAATTTTGGAAGGGGAAAAAAGAAAAAAAAGAAAAAGTGTTTGCCCTCAATTCTTGCCTTTTCACATTAGTACTGTTAATTTGTGTTTTTCTCCTCAGGTTTTAGCTGTACTCTTCACAGTCTAAACAGCATCCACAGCATTGGCTTTGGATTAGCATGATGACAGTTTAACTTTTGAACAGAGAGGTCTTAAAAATGACAAAGTCATTCATTTTTTTCCTGATGCGTTTTTAGCTTTTACCTGTTCCCTCTAGGGTTGTGTCCTTTCACCATTTTTATCTGTCTTTAATATATAAATGGTTGTCAGAGCGGGCAGACATATCAAGTTCACTGATAATTTTGTCATTCTGTCACTGCTCAGTGATGAAAAAGCCAACCATAGACCAGTGGTGGAGAAATTTATTGACTGGATTAACTACAAGGACATGATAATAGACTTTAGGACAAAGTCTTGCTACATTCTTTCTACAGATTTCTATGGCCAGGCTGTTAAAGCTGTTCAGCAGTACAAGTATCTTAGGACAATAACTGAATAGAATAATATTTTAACCCCCCCCCCCCCAAAAAAAGGGGCCAGTATGAATTGTTCAAAGGTTCATTAGTGCTAACTTTCTTTAAAAAGTTAGAAGTTTTATGATAATGTTTTTATATTCTTTTCTCTTAACCCTTTCCACTTCTTAGTTTGGATTAAATAACTTTAGAAAATTAAAAACATAACTAGTTTATTAAAATTTTTTTTTTTTTTTTAAAATACAAGATTATGCAAGTTCCAGGCACGTATATGAACAAGCTCTCCAAAAGTCAGAGCTACAAAGAAAGCTCAACAGTAGTGATGTGCGGATCGATCCTGAAATATCGATTCCTCCGATACCAATCAATTATGTTCTAGAATCGATTCTCACATTAAAATATCGATATTTTAGTAATTTAGGGTAAATTTGTAGTTTATCATTAACAGGAACACAGTGGAAAGAAACTATAACATTCGGATTGTCTACATTCAAAGGAACTACCGTACTTCCTCTTCTGCCTTTCATAGTTATGTGCGAAATACAGCTGTATTAATGTCTCGCAACCGCTGGCGTGCGCACTCACAACAATGGCTGAGCGTAATTGGAGTCATGTGCAGACTTATTTTATCTCCACAAACAGCTGAGACGTAGTTTGCGATACATGTGGCAAAAAAGTGCTCCAAGAGTGAGGTGTTGTGGCCATACTTGCAAACCTTGAGACCTCAGAATTAGAGAGATATTCAAAAGGGCTGTTGGGGTGGGGGTGGGGGTGATAAATACATTTTACAGTGTTTATTTATCGGATAAAATACATTAAATGTCACCGTTATTATTAGCCGGCCCGGAAACAGCGGGGGTGTCCAAATTCAGAGGCTGCTTCCACCTGAGGACCCGGCCTTCGCGGTCTAAAGAAAACCGAGTAGTACGTCACGAGCTCCCTCCGTGGAGTGAAACTCGGCCGTCTGCTCCTTGCTATCTAAAATATAACCGGGCGCTGACGTAAACTCTCGACCGTTTCACGCTTCTCTTTAATCGTTTTCTGTTTGACGTTTATTCAGCTGTGTGAAAACCCCAGAGGAACCCACCCGATGGATTAATAAAGTTACATTTAATTTAATCTAATCTAATAACTTTAATCTCAGCCAAACCGATTTACCCACGAACAAATAAAACACCGAAAAAGCCAAACAATAACATTTTTAAATTATCAAAGTGACTATATCATGTTTAACCCGAGTAGCGCAAGACCACGGGGGTTTGAAAACGATGTGTCGGTCGGCTCAGATATTTGAAGTTTACACAGCTACATTCTCACCTGAAAATATGTTAAACGTTTTTTTTGCGACCCAGAAAGAGAAATAAGAGTAATATTAAAACTAAGTAGCTGTCGTCATTGTTGGAGACTGGAATTGGCTGGGCCGCGCTATGAATTCTGCAATATGGTTTTTCAATTTTGTTGTCCAGGTGGAAAATTCAGAGAAATTCGGGAGAATGGTGGCGCCGGGAGATTTTCGGGAGGGGCACTGAAATTCCGGATTCTCCCGGAAAAATCAGGAGGGTTGGCATGTATGGTTGTGGCAACATCACTAACCTTGTCAAACACCTCAGAGTAAATCATATCACAGAATATGACGAGCGTATGTTGAGACAAACTGAAGAGGAGGACAGGGACAGGTGCTGCTAGGGCGAGACAGACGTCTCTCACGGAGTCCTTTAGTGCTGCAGGCAGGCAAGGTGTTCAAATAGCCACAACTTCAGTTTTTTATTTCTATATGATGAACCCTGCATTAAGCGATAAGAACAAGTAATCTGATGTCCTATAATCATTATTATGCTATAATTTGAGATACAATAAATAAAATAAGTTTTTGTACAAAGTATCGGTATCGGATCAGTATCGTCGATACCACCCTGAATATTACTTGGTATCGGATATCACTACTCAACAGTGCAGGTTTCTTCCTTCTAGCTGCAGATTTAATCTGCCAAGATGCAGATTTAAGAACTCATTTCTCCCTGCCGTTGTTGGCCTCCTGAATATAGTGATGTAACTCTAGGTTTTTTTTGTGCGAGTTGTTTGTGTGTTGAGCTGAAAACTTGACCTTTTATCTTTTAATGTTTGTTACCCACCTGACAACTTATTTCAATAAACATTTATCATACATCCAGTAGAGTAAAGCTGTCACCTGGTGGTTGACCAATATGTTTGTGTAATGTATAACAAGGAGTAGACAGATGTGCTCGACAGAAACAAAAAATAGGATTCAACTTAAATCTCAACTTCAGGTAAAAATCAGAAATACACACACGCACACAAACCTACCTGCGTAGGCACTGAGACACCTAGAGAGCACACTGAGTGGCAGCAGGGGATCCATGAGTGTTAGCAGACGGGAAGGGGATGCGTAGGCTGTCAGCAGGGTAGCTGGATAGGCTGCCACGATGCCATCTGGCATTCGCACACCAAAAGCAGCAGCTCGCATCGATGTCGTCACACATAAATTGCCTCCTGCACTGTCACCAGCCAGACACACCTTCTCTCCAGTCCACCCTGTAAGGAAAAATAAATAAAAATTATAGACTTCTGGTACAAGGACGGATAGAAAGAAAAGTAATTCACAGGGAAAACTTGAGATAACATGAAGGGGACAAGAACTTCTTTTTTTATACATCTTTTCTAAAGGAAAAAAAACAAAAAAAAAACTATGACATTACTGAAATGAAAGAAGAAGAAAAAAGGCAGTGTAACAGCAACACTCTCTTTTCTGTTCACCATTGTGGTAATAGGCAGCTCTTGTAACTAGGGTTTCCCTATCTACTTCATAGCCATGATATTGAGGACTTGTACTACAGCAGTACCATATTGCACTGCAATCTCTGTTAATTTGACACAGTGTGCTTCAGCGGACGAGCGTACCCCAAACCGACCAGATGGCTTCTTTTTTTCTGTCGAAATACTGAGCATCACAACTGGTGTGATAGCACTGAACAGCAAGTAAAGTGCAAGAAGCATACAGCATGATCACTTTCAAAGTGATAAATGAATCCTCTCAGGAGGTACAAGCAATTGGTGAAAGCAGCGGAGGATTTAGAGAAGCACTCCACAGAAACCTTCACGCTGAAATAGGTGGGTGTTATCCCTCCAACGTGCCTGCTCAGTAATTCTAATAACTTTCTTCTCTTTCATCTGCCTAAGGGACATACTGTTACTTCTGCATACAAAGATGTAGAATACACACACACACGCACACACACACACACACACACACACAGACACACACACAAAGTTTGATTTTCTTCTCTTTTTTTTTTTTTTTTTTTTTTTTAAAAAAACCAGAAATCAAAAACTCAAATCTCCTTTAAAACCATTTAACGTATTCAGACATGAAATCAGTAGCTTGTAGAAGATCCCTGGCAGCTTATACAAGCTCGATTTGGGCAGTTTATCTACTCTTCCTTGCGGATCCTCTCAACCTCCAACAGACTGGATTGCAAGAAAACGAACTTGTATCTTGAGGTATCTCCACTCTCCGGGGTTTAACTGTGGGCTTTAGGACATACTTTGATCCTTGAGTGGTCCAGAATATGCCTTTCCATGCTTGAAATCATTGCTGCGTTTCGTCAGTTCTGACAAGTTATTGCTTATTCTGTCACAGAGTTCCTCCATAACCCCATGCTGCTACCACCATGCCTCACCATAGGCTAGTATTAGCAAGTAATGAGCAGTGCCTGGTGTTTGAAAGGTATAAGGCTCAGAGTTTTGCCCAAAGACCAATATGTCTATCAAATCACACTGAAGGTCTATGTCACTACAAAGTTAATACTAGGAACATTCCTGGTAGTTAATTTCTTTCATTTCACAGTTATTGAGGACACCGGACTCCTGGGAACACTCAGATTTAAAAGTTGCTTTGTACCCCTCACTTTGATTTATGCCTCAAGTCTTACTGCATATATCTACAGAAAGCTCCCAGCTGACTCCATGGCTTTGTTTATCCATTTTAAATTAAATCTTTAGTACAATAAAGTGAACAAAATATGAGAGGGTTTGAGTACTTTGTGAATCTGCTGTATACTATTCCCATGACTTTAAAGAAGAAACAGAAAATATACAAGAGAGATACAAAGCCATACTCAAGTATAAACAATGCTGTGTGATGCATATACCTAATAGGTGGTGGTTTCTCAAAGCCCAGCAGTAGGCATAGAAACATTCCTCTAGGGCGCGTGGGAAGGGTGCCTCAGGGGCCAGAGAGTAGTCCACTGACAGTATGGGAACACCAAGGTCCTGGGACCAACTCTTTAGATAGGGCTGTTTCAAACAGAAGATAATGATACAAAGACGTGACTTTATAAAAGGAAAAACAATGCTTTTTTTATGTTGGTAAATTTATGACACACAACAGCAGCCATAATAAAACACAGAGGCAGGGAGAGAGAAATAAAAAAGAGAAGTGATTGAGGAAAAGCCTGCTGTGTGGAACATTTGAAAAGAAGGACAAAAAGTTATGAAAATTATGCTTTCTTCTGATGTCATCTGTCTGCTTTCTGGCTTACTGTCTAGACAAAGGGAGAATGAGCGCTGCCCTCACAGTCAAATCCATTTTCCTTCTTTTTGCACTGCAATAACAAATGTGCCCACATGTCCTATTTGGTGAAGTATGAAGAGAGAGGACAAAGAGAAGGAGGTGGTGTGGATATACAAAGAAAATCCATAGATACAGACTCGCTGTCAGAATACTGATCGTTGTTTTATATTGTTACAGTCAGGTTAAGCGTTTACTCTGCTTAGGCAGTGACCTTGAAATGTGAGAAAGGCACGATGAGTTCTGACAATATTACTTTTGCAAAGCTTTCGCCCTTTCCTCTTCTGTCTTTATCAAATTCCAACACCTATACGTTTGCTGTGATAGGTGTTGGTAAAAGCAACAGATCACCATTCACAATGGCAGGAAGAGCACAGTGTGTACATGTTTATGTGCCGTCTCATCCCTCATTGGTTTACCGTAGTATGACAAGAAGAAAAGTAGCAGCTCCAGCAGTCAGCTGTGATGTCTTAAAACTCTACCTGTCACGATAAATCTCGGTGTGAGGACACAGATAAGTGTGTGCATGCAGTCCGAGCACTGAGCAGGAAAGGCAATGTGAGTTTGTGCAAATCAGTAAAGCTGCTCCCAAGGTGTATATGCGTTCTACTTAGTGAGAACAACAGCCATTACTGGCAGTCTACAACAAGTCAATATGAGAAGAGGTGTGTGCAAGAGTTTTAATGGGTGGGAACCAGGCTGTATAAATTTAAATGACTCAGGAAACTCTTCTCACACACATCATTTTAGAGGGTCCCAAATCTATCCTCTAAGCTGGAATTAAGAGGAGCTGCTGTCCTACTGATTCTTAGACAGAAATAGCAGTTAATCTGCAAATACCTCAACATTTACTGAATGTGGGTTTGTGCCCAAGTTACTAAATACATAGACTCTAAGTACATTTATTCCTGTGATATCAGCATCATTATGCACTGAGACCACCACAGGCTTCTTCATCTGAGGTTGAACTGTTCATCTCACCCATATGATGGGAGATACAGGATCCAGAAGAGGTTAAATGAGCGACTGAAGGCAAAAATGCTCATCTCCACTCCATCATAAAATCTTTCATTTTTGTATTCCTCATTTCTGGGTCTTGGTAAAGGGATCCAAAAAGGCAAAAGGGGGAAAGAAAGTAAAGTGATGTCCAAATACAACTAAACTGAGATGTAGAAAAAGGACACAAAGTGAACAAAAATGATTTTGTGATATCAAAAAGATTGAGAAGGAGGATGTAATAAGAAAAGAAAAAGAAACGAGCGCCTAGAAAAAAGAGAGAGAAGGATAGTCTGACAAGTCTTCCATTAGTGCCCTGGGTAATCTTTCTCTGCGGGGTTGTACAGTTCTCTGTTAATTCAACATGACAGCCCCACACATCCCTTCTCTGATTGCTCCCTCTCATCCTTTGGTTGCTATGCAGCTGCAGATCAAGGATGCCAATGTCCTTTGCAATTTCACAGAGCCCTGTCTTAAAGCAGCTATAAGTAGCTTCATGCCACATAATGACCACACAAGCACAGGATAAAGTACAGGGGTACAAACTATATTTAAAAAAAAAAAATCTTCCTATTTATAAATCAACAAACCACACTAATATGCAGTCTTCCTGTTAAAATTTATTTACTGCCACCAATTTAAACATATGATCAAAAGGGTAAAAAAAAAAGACTAAGGGTTTTTTTTACATAGTAATAATATACAAGGCTAGTGTCTGTGTGCTTCTTTTTTCTAGCACAGTGATCCAGAAATTAAATCTAGGATACAAGTTCCTCCTTTATGAGAACAAAAAGGAGTGAGGATGAATTAGATGACAGAAAGCAATGACAGACAAGGGTCAGCTCTGCAAGCACCTTACCAGTAAGTAAGCCACAGAGTAAGGTCAGAGAGTCTCTGTTAAGTTTTCAGGGGATAATTATAAAAATAATTAGTCTAAATTCTCAATCCATGTCACACTATTGACAGGGGAAGAGACTCAGACTGGTAACCCCTCTTCTCCTCTGCTGTCAACTAGTGTCTGTCTCATCAACACTTTAATTAGGTGGGTTTTCATTACAATTAGTCTGAGAAAACATGATTGAAGGGATGAGAGGATGAAATTAGCTGGATGACAGCTTTGGTGATAGAGGCTCAAGACCTGAACTTGGCATCTAATGCTAGAGGTGTATTGTTGTTAGTGCTTTGACAGGTAAGTGCCACGTTTTCTTGGTCTGTGTTCTATTATAAAATCTTACAAACACATCAATACTGTCCTATACAAACCTCCATTAAATACAAGGAAAAGCAGTCCATTGAATCTAACCAGTTTTATCATGCAAGACAGAGGTAATCATAATGAATCTCTAGTCAAAGTAAAACACTTCTGAAACTGAGCTAACTTCAGTAGAACAGTAGTTTCTCACCTCATGAGACTTTGAGGTCTGTGCCACAAAGCCTCCACCATGGAAATGGATCAGGAGACATGGAGAAGAGGGGAGGCGCTTGGTCTTCAGCCCCAGGGAAAGAGAGATAGCACCCCCCTCGGAGCGGGACAGAGACAGCAGTGTTTCACTGTCCTGAGAGAGTGAGATTTAAAAAATAAATAAATAAAAAATAAACATTATTAGGAGAACGAATAACTTAGAAGATGAACAGAAAGACATAATCAAGATCTCCTATTTGGGTCTAGTATTTACAGTGTCTGTGGTTCCAAACAGTGTCTTATTGCTGATAAATTTTCTAATGTTAGCAACAGGGTTCCTTTGAGAAGTGGATTAACCAGTTGTTCTGCAGCAGCTTGCTGACAACCTTGCCTGGCTGCAGGAACACATACTAATTCCCATTAATTAACAGAAACAAGGACGGAGGCTAAGAAAGTGTTTCGACTGATGCGGGCTTGTGTTTTGTGACATAAAAAGGACTGTTGTTTGTTGGATGATCAATGTGAGAAATTGTATGTCTGGTTAACTGCCAGGCTACAAGAGCAGCTCGGATAAAGGGGGAGTCTCCCAAGAGAAAAAGGGAGGCAAAGGGAAAAGAAAAAGAAAGAAAG